TTAAACTCCACTTTTAAAAACAATCCCTTTGAAACTGGAGATCATCCTCATGCCTCTCCTCCTTACTGTTCATGGACTATTCTTATGTGAGTGCAACCAAAACTGTAGACACAACTCTACCTGTGGCCAAACATGACATCTGGAAATCAGAACCTAATTGGTTAAGCAAAGCTTCTGTTTGTTTTGGTTATTGTTACTCACACTGTTTAGACATGACGAAACCCTGATCACTTTCAACTCACCCCTCAGCATGTTTTAGCCCAGCTATAAAGTACATATTCCTGCTATTTTTAGTTCCTATTTGAAATACCTTGCATTTATCTGTATTAAATTACATTTTCCAATGATCAGGCCAGGTACATATTAGATCTCTTTTTGCAAGACCTTGGCTGCTTCCTCAGATTCCACAGTCTGTCCGTCCCCAGCTTGGTTAACATCTGCAAATATAACTACCTTGCACTGAATTTAGGAATCAAGGTAATTTACGTATATTAGGAACATGAACAGTTCATCACAGCTCATACTGACGGTAGCCAAGCTAAAATCCAAATACCATCTTTGAGAAAGTAACATTCTGGCACTGAAATTTACTAGAAGTTTAACTGCATTTATCTGAGTGCCTGGTTAACATTCCTTTCAACATCACTTTGTACCAAGCCAAACAACACAACCAATACTGTTTTTAACATTTTAATGTTAGAAAGCCAACAGTACACTGAGCCTTTTAATATCTTCAAAAAGATTTCCAGACCAATGTTTGCACCCCAAATGGCTTGAGGGCTTTGAACACACCATTAGCAAGGAGACCATCATGATTGACACCTATGATAATTTCGGGAGTCGGTCTCCATTAACATTTGTGCTGCCTGGCTTGGAGTTTAAGAGCTTTGTGATGCTTCCACATGAAGCACGCTATAAAAATGCAAATTGTTGTTGGATAAGAAGACTTATTGGCTTATCTGATCTCATTCTTCCACAATATCCATCCTATCAACCCCCATCACAGCATCAAACTGCTTTTCAAATGAGTTGAATGTTCTGGCCTCAAACACTCTAACTGATAACCTGATCTAGTCATTAATTATGCCCACAAAAAACAGATTCAATCTACTTTACAGTATATCCTGTGAAGAGAGATGTCTGATGTCTGATGTCTTTGAGATGTCTGATGACATGAAAAGGTGCAAATTACTGCTAGAATTATCCACTGAATGAAGAAAAGCTTCCTAGCATCTGCCCTGAAAATAACATTTACGCCTTTGAACTCATGTCCTTTTATTCTACTGTCTTGGTGGATCCCAAAGTATTGATCTGGGTTTACACCTCTGTGAGTCGTTCCCTCTCAAGACTGAAGAGTCCTGGCCTGTCTAGTTGTTTCTCATAGCCTGGGCCAACAGAAAAGTGCGGTCACACCTTTCCCGTATTTTCTGCCACAATGGACCTCGTCGTCCACTACAAACCCTGCCACAAATGCAGTTTCTGGCCCGTGGGCCGCTCGCGCTGTTTACCCGATGTCACTGTGGGCGAAGCGGCTCCGGATGCGCATGCACAGTGCGGTGCAAAGGGTATATGGTCTACACTCAGAGGCCCCGCTGTTGTGATTATCGGTGACTGTGAGTGCGCATGTCTCGCTCTGTCTCTCTCTCTGCGCGTGTCTCTCTCTCTGCGCGTGTCTCTCTCTCTGCGCGTGTCTCTCTCTCTGCGCGTGTCTCTCTCTCTGCGCGTGTCTCTCTCTCTGCGCGTGTCTCTCTCTCTGCGCGTGTCTCTCTCTCTGCGCGTGTCTCTCTCTCTGCGCGTGAGTGTGTGTGAGAGAGATCCAGGAGGTGGTAGCCTCACTAGTGCCCCCCTCTGCCCACACCCATACAAAATGGCCACTCAGTCTTTGTTAAAGAAACAATTAATAAAATGTGTTATTTCCTTATGTTTAGTCTTTTATCAATAAGGAGAAAAAATGTAGAAGTAAAATGTACCCAATAGCACCAATCAGCCCCAACAATTTCCCCGAAAAGTTTAAGAAAGGCCTCCACAATCCCCCACAAGATTCACTGCAATTTTGTTTGCAAAAATGTCCACATTTTTCTATTGGCCCAGGTCATAGCTCATTCCTCTAACACTGGGGATCATCCTCTTTCTCTCCACTGCACTGTCTCTAGGGCCTAGGCTGCCCAGAACTGTATGTAGTACTCAAGGTCTGGTCTGTCCAGAGCACTGTATAGCCCGAGTATGCCATCTGAGGATCTGTACTGAAATAATTAAGTAATATAGCCCCAAATCCTTGTTTGTTGCTGCCTCAAACCGCATTGACCATAGTGAACATTGGGAGCGATGAGTCAACTGACATCCCTAGATCTCTTTCAATTTCCCCATTGGCATGATTATCCCATCTATGGAGTACTTGTGTTTCCTATGCTTGGATCCTATATGTAGTACCTTGCATTTATCTATCAAACTCTGTTTTGTAAATACCCATTAATTAATGCCCATTGATGAGTCTTGAATTAGTGCACACACTTGATCAGGCAAAAATTATGGATAAAAATAGTAAAAGGTATTGCTAGTTTATAGAAAGAACATTTAGACTCTGGATTGGTTTAAAGGTTTGGTTACTTGCCCATGCCTCACTTTCAGTGAGCTGCTATAAATTAGCAAGAGCCACCATTTCATTTGTAAGATCCTATGTCCAGATGTTTTGCAACATCTTATTACACCAGGTAGTTTTGCAATTCCCTCCCACCCCCCCATCTGTCCCAACACACCTATGAAAATCCACTTATAACAACAACAACAACAACAAAATTACATTTGTAAAGCACCTTTCACGTCGGGAGGGTATCCCAAGGCGCTGAAACAGTCAGGGATCAGGACCCGAGCCTGGAGGACAGGGTTGGGATAAGGAAGGGTAGAGGGGGTAGGAGGTCGGCTGAAGGCACGGTCAAAAAGGAGGGTCTTGAGTCGTGCCTTGAAGGAGGCAAGAGAGGGAGCAAGGTGAAGGGATTGTGGGATGGAATTCCAAAGAGTGGGGGCAGAGAGGCTGAAAGCCCGGCCACCGACAGAGCCTGCTGAGCGGAGGGAGTGGACGGAGTCCTGTAGCTCAGTGGTTAGAGCACTCGCTTTGCAAGCGAGAGACCCGAGTTCAATTCCAGGCAGAGGGCGAAACCTTGGGCAAGTTTCCTTACTCCACACAGAGCCTAATAATAATCCCTCCAAAACAAAAAACAATAATATTTTCATTTCATTTTCAATCTGCGACTATTTGTGGGACATTGCTGTGCGCAATTGGCTGCCGCGTTCGCCCACAAATATACAGTCAATTCACTTTACAGTGTGTTCTGTGAGCGCTTTGGTACGTCCTCCTGACGTGAAAAGCGCTATATCAAATGCAAGGATTATTATTATTATTATAGGTTGATAGGGGATCAGCAGGGCAGAGATGTAGGAGGGGGCAAGGCCATAAAGGGCCTTGAAAGTGAGGACGAGGATTTTGAATTCTATCCCCTGAGGGATGGGAAACCATTGGAGCCGGGCGAGGGTGATGGGGTCAGAGCCTGGTGCGGGAGAGAACATGAGCTGCAGAATTCTGGATGATCTGCAGCTTGTGGAGGGAAGAGCTGCAGAGGCCGACAAGGAGAGCGTTTCTGTAGTCGAGCCTTGAGGTGACAAATGCATGTATGAGGGTTTTGGCGCCCTGAGGGTGAGCTAGTGGCAGAGTCGGGCAATGTTGCGGAGGTGGGGGAAGGCAGAACAGATCATGGTATGGATATGGAGGAGAGAGGTCAGTTGAGGGTCGAACAAGACGAAAACAGATAAGGTATTTACACTTATGGGACACAAAACTGGCACTTCCTTATAGCATTCCAGTTGATCTGCAAACCAGTTGCTGGAAAAGTCAAATAATCGTAAACTTGTTAGCAAGACCCCAAACTTGTTCCTCAAATAATCAATATTGATTCCGTCACTTCATAGTCTTCTTTCACAAATGTGTTTTCTCATTCAACTACCTGCCATCCATGCCATTTCCCCACGGGACAGCAGCCTACTCCTTCAAATATTAATCTTGGGATGGGAAACCATTGGAGCCCGGCGAGGGTGGGGGTGATGGGGTCACGGAGGCCGGATTAAAAACTGCATCAAGGTTCACTGCCAAATCTATCTGCCTTATTCCCCCAGAAAAGATCACCTCACTCTTTCTGACACGAAACCTCATCCTGGAGACCAAAAACATCGCCAAGCTATTCTCTTCCACCATTGGTCATCTCCTCTCACGCTCCCCTTAAAGCTCCTTCAACTCTAAATGTGAAGAGGTCATCGGCCAAAAATCAATGAAATTCACCCAGCTGCAACTCCTAGAGCAGAGAGTTTCTCCTGATGTCCTGGCCAACAATCCCATAGATAAAAATTGATCATTCTCTTCAGGGCGTTTGTGGGACATTGTTGTCCGCAAATCAACTGCCACCTTCACCTTCAAAATCGTCACTACACTCTACAGTATATCCTGTGAAGTGCTTTTGAGACATCTCAACAACATAAGGTGCTATGTTAAATCCAACAATTATTTTACTATCTTCCTCCTCCCCCAGCGCCCTACCTCTTCAACTGACCATGCTTTCCACAATTTTGTCCCATTTCTCCATCATCCCTTTCCACCTTCATCTCCAATATGAAACCCACCAACTCCTATTGACTCAACTTCTCACCTAGCTTCTGCCCCCACCCAACCCCTTTGCTTGTGAATGCTGTCAAACTTTCTCTACAATCCAGCAATGTTCCTCTCCCTTTCAAATTCATCATCGTCCTCTCTTCAAAAATCCTCTGATGCTCTACCTGAAGTGTGTTAGTTAAATGCAAGTAGCTGTTGTTGCTGCTTAAATCACAATTCAACTATATTCTTAATTTCTCCAATTTTAATTTAAGGGTACAAGGAAATCATGATTAAAATCAAAATAACAGCAAACAAAATTCTTTATTTACATGCTCACAGTGTAACAGCTTATTCATCTTACCTCTGGGGGCTGATGTAGACCTAGGGTGACTTGATCAGGTATTGTAGACCATACAATGTTTACATTGCTAGAAGGCATCAAAGGTGAAGAGCACACATTTCCATTCTTCAGCTGTTCAGCTGAACGAGACCTTGGTCCTTGCCATCCTAAACCAGTATCTACCAAAAAAAGGCGAAATAGCTTTAATCAAGGTGGTCCAACCATTGGCCCGCAGGCAGCATCCAGCCCGGAGATGATTTCATCCAGCCCACTCGTTCATTCCCTCCCTCGCCAACCTTCCTCTCATGGCAGCATCAGGAGCCAGTACTTGGGAGGATGCAGTTGGTTAGGAGTCCTGCTTCCCTTCCCCTCAGCTCGAGAGGGACTCTCTGACAGACTTAAGCAATGGGCGACATTATTTCCCCGCCCCGCAGCACAATGCGTTGCAGTCTGTTAGGGAATCCCTCTGGTGCTGAGGGGAAGGCACGCAGGTCTCCTCACCCACTGTGTCCTTCCAACCGCCAGCTCATGCTGCTGCCAGATAGTTATAATAATAATCCTTGCATTTGATACAACACCTTATCACATCTTCAAGATGTCTCTAAGCGCTTCACAGAATATACTGTAAAGTGAATTGTACATTTTTTCGGCAAAATGTGGCAGCCAATTGCGCACATCAGTGTCTCACAAACAGTCGTGGATTCAGTGACCAAATTTTTTTTGATTTATTTTGAAGGGATGTGTGTGTGTTTGTGTGGGGTGAGAGATCAGAGAGTGTGTGAGAGGGGGAAGAGAGCGTGAGGGGAGAGAGTGACTGATTGACAGAGAAAGGGGGAGAGAGTGAATGAGAGAGCATGATGGAGAATGGGAGTGAGAGAATCAGAAAGAGGGAGGGAGAGAGCAGAGAAAGAGAAAGACAGGCGGAAAATGAGGGCAGCGTCTTGTGGTTCACTATCAGGACAGATGATCAAAGCTTCCCTCGGCTGCCCCGGTGAAAAACTGAGGGCAGCCATCGAGTGACGTGGCATTTCCTCACAGCAAGCTCCCTCTTTCCCAAGTAAGAAACTCCTCTATGGCCTTCATCCCTCTTCCCCACCCTAGCTTTGGTCACTTTTAAATTTGGTCACTCAATCCCCAACTCTTTGTGGCACTCTGCAATTAGCTTCTGTGTTTCGCTCATAAACTACACAGCTTTACAAAATATTCCTTGAAGCGCTTTGAGACGTCTCAAAGATTTTATAAATGTTATATTAAACGCAAGGATTATTATTACCTCTGATCTCCCAACCCTGCCATTCTCTAAATTGAGTGCTACAGTACATTGTTATGTCCAAATTTTAAATACAATCACTTTCATCAATCTCAATTTCTCAGAGAGACAGGTACATCGTGTCACTTTCAAGTCTTTCCAAGATCTTATGTTTGATGGCTCCATTGTATACATCATACACCTCTCTAATCTTCTAATCGCAAATAAAGTTTCCATCACTCAACAATTGCTAAACCTGCCTTCAAGTTTAGTGCCCTTTCATGTAAAATATTTCCATCCCACTCGACTCATAACTTCATCCAAAACCCAAGATTTGAATACAAATCCATATTCAGGTAAACTCTTCTAGGATCTCTCTCCCACTCGTGTACAAAACAAAGTTAAAGACTTGTTGCCTGATAAACTGCCCACAAAATACATAGCCACACCACTCTACAGTATATCCGTGAAACATTTTGGCGACATGAGAATGCATTATATCAAACCCAAAAAATCTTAGTTCATGTCTGTCTTCCACCCTCTTTCCAATGCAATGTTTCTAGTTTATTTTATTTATGGTCATTGTTTTTCCCAAGCTGCAAGTGAATCAATCACACACCGTTACTCTACCCTACATAATCATTTTGCTGTAATTGAAATTTATGTCACTATTTGAAGCCGGGGATGAATGTGGTTTAAAGCACAATCACAATTTGTGGAGTCCTGTAGCTCAGTGGGTAGAGCACTCGCTTTGCAAGTGAGAGACCTGAGTTCAATTCCAGGCAGGTCAGGGCGAAACCTTGGGCAAGTTTCCTTACTCCACACGCCTAATAATAATAAATAATCCCTCCAAAAATCAAAAACAATAATTAAATTGGTCATTTTCAATCTACGACTGTTTGTGGGACATTGCTGTGCGCAATTGGCTGCCGCTTTCTCCCACAAATGTACAGTCAATTCACTTTACAGTGTGTTCTGTGAAGCGCTTTGGGATGTCCTCCCGACATGAAAAGCGCTATATCAAATGCAAGGATTATTATCAGAGTCAGGTCTTCAGGTTCAATTGAAAAGGTGAGAGGGAGTAATATTGAAAGAAAGTTCCAAAGGGATTGGGATAAAGTTGCTGAAGGCTCGTTTGTCAAGAGCGTGCAGGTAGAGCAGAGGATGTGGTTAGGGGAGAAGGGTCACAAGAGATAGGGTCGTGCAATCTGTGAAGGCATTTGTAGACGAGCATGTTGATCTTAAAAGTTAATCCGCTGGGGGACAGGGATCCAATGGAGCTGAGTGAGGGTGGGAGCGATGGGCTCACAAAGGATGGTGAGGATTAACAGAAGATGAGCTGCAGAGTACTCTATCATCTGGAGTGTTGGGGTGAGGTAGTGTCGGAGACGGTCAATGGAAGAAAAATGGAGAAAAGCAGACTTGGTCAGATTCTTAAACTATAAAGCTAAAAAAATCATTATAAGTAGATTCTGTATGACACTGACATTCTGTATAACATAGATTCTACTTCACCGATGAACCGTGAAGGCCTGTGACCACAATGATGGGTTGACCTACTGTAGATTGTTCATTCCCCATCCAAGACACAATGACTCATTTTTGATAAATTGCAGGGTAATAAATATTCAGATAAAAGTCTTAAAACCGTCAAAAATGACAGAAAGAATGAATGAGAAGCAAGTTATGTAATAGGAACCCACTTCTCACAGACACTTACAAAACATTTAAAAAAGAAACAATTTTGCTTAGTGAATGGAACGGAGAATGGTAAGAAACACAATTATCTACACTGATGCGTGATCTGTGGAGCTATATTTGCACTGTATAACAATCAGCTACACAAAAGAAATGGCAATCAAGCACTATTTTGTCACTCAATGACAGTTATTGGACAGCAAATCAAGCAACAGCTGCTTGACTATACATTCAACATGACGTGTTAAGGTACTAATACATTCAACATGACGTGTTAAGGTGCTGAAGGTAGCAGCAAGTCCTGAACTCTCATCTGCAGATCAACCAATTTAAATTTTCTAGATTTTGGACAAGTGTTTCGGATTGATCAATTCTTTATTCCAGGCCTACATTTCTCTATTTAAAGTGTGTTAAATCTCTGCTTCAGAACTTGAAAAGTATTTCAGCTAATTAAATTTAATACATATATAAGCTACAATAATATTGTTCCTTCACCAGACTGACAACCAAATGAAATGTGGTAGTTTTTGATATGCCAGTGGATCTGATCAATATCCCTAAGATGTGACAATGAATTTTGTTGCTGACTTTGTTGTTCAGGCTCTTAGTCATTTAATGTGTCTTGCCTATTTTAAAGAAAACAACTGTTTGGTTAAGATTACGCTCTAATGGAATGTTTAAATGTTTAGTGCTGATTTTCTAGTATTTTAGGAAATCAGTGTGGCTCAGTAGGAATTGCTCCTCCCTGACTTCTGGGTTAGAAGGTTGTGAGCTCAAAGCCCAATATTAGGTCTTGAGATTAATAGTCTAGACTGACAGTCCAGTGAAATGTCTAGTGAGTGCTGAATTATCAGAGGTGCGTCCATCGACTTTTGGGATAGAGAAAAGATCTCTTTTTTGTGCCTATTTTAGACTTCCTTAGAATATTTGTGGAGTCCTGTAGCTCAGTGGTTAGAGCACTCGCCTCTCGAGTGAGAGACCTGGGTTTGATTCCCAGCAGGGTGAAACCTTCGGCAAATTTCCTTACTCCACACACCTAATAATAATCCCTCAAGAAAAAAAAATTGGTCACTTCAATCCACGAGTGTTGGTGGGACACTGCTGTGCGCAATTCGCTGCTGCGTTTCACCCACAAATATACAGTCAATTCACTTTACAGTATATTCTGTGAAGCGCTTTGGGACGTCCTCCCGACGTGAAAAGCGCTATATCAAATGCAAGGATTATTATTATTATTAGTATTATTATTATATCAAATGCCAGGATTATTATAGATGTTCAACTTTGAACAGCAAAACTAACTCTTAAAAGCACAATGTGTGCCTTGCCATATTACAGAAGAGTGCAAATTTGTGTGTGGCCATCTGTGTGCGCACCCAAACAAATCTATATATATATATAATATAATACACACATGTAATCCCGCTTCATAATTGAAATTGTGAATATGTTAACCCATGTAGTCGAAATAATTATTTTAATCAATGGTTAAGAAATGCTTATGACGATTAGACACCATTTTGATTAATGGTTAAAAATGGTGATGTAACGAGAAAAATGTCAAGATGACTTGTCATTGTAGCTAAAGATTGTTGAAGATCTTTGTCCATAACAAATTCAAGTTTTAATCAATATTATGTTAAAGTCTTCTATAACAAATCTGCAGATTGTATTTTATTATTCTTTTTATGTGAGATAATTACTTCATGGATGTAAGAAAGGAAAGGTTGTTTATTCTTATCCTGCCAGTTGAAAATCAATTATAAAAGAAATATGGCTGAACTATACTTTGTTCTGCCTAGGACATAGCATTTCAGGTGCTGTCCACGCAAAAGCTATCTTTCATGCAACGATATGAACTGATGAAGCAAATGTGTTGACTTCGGGGTTAAAATCCATTAGATTAAAGACTATTCCATCAACTTTCATTAACTCCAGCAATTTCAGGAAGAACTGCAGAAATCCCAGAACATCTGAAACCGTTTTATTGGTAACAGGAGAAGAATAACAATGTATAACAACTGCCAAAGAATTACAACATATAACAACTGTCGCAGCAGTGCCTGAATCTGTGAAGCTTTTAAATAGACGCAAACTTTTATTTGATCTACTCGATAGAAGACTACAACGGTTAGAGGTCAAAAAGTCGGGGTGGGTGTGGGTGAAGGCAGTGAACTTATCAGAGCAGCATTGCTAGCAGTTATGAGAAAATGTAAAACTAAAAGGGTGAGATATATAAGAACATAAGAAATGCTAGACAAAAAAAAGACCAAGGTCCATCTAGTTTGCCCTCCACCTTCCTGGCGGTTGCATGCACATATGTCCCAAACTATCTATGTACTGTATCCCATAATGTTATTTCCTAAAAGAAAACTATCTAAATACACTACGCCCTGCTAGTCTGACACCATCACACTAACCTGATGGAGTTCTTCTGTTGTTTTGGACTGCTGGCTGTACACTCTGCTGGAGAATATTCAGGCATTCACCAAGACAGCTCATAGTAGCAGCTGAGGTCGCTTTCAAAAGCAGCAAATCTTGATCCAATGCAGACATTGGGCCAGAAGTTGGGAGGGATTCTATCGACTGCACAAGACTTCTCTGTTGTCCCTCGGCTTGGCTCATTATCTAACAAAAAAATGTAGCAGTTTAAAACTCTGTGGGCTTTGCTGCTTTATATTGTACATAAGCAGGTAACAATGTGCAAAATAGACCAATGTTTAAAAACAACCAAACAGCACCTCCTCTACCCTATGGCTCAGTGCACTTCAAGCACCACCAGATTATCTACATATTAATAGTTTTCCTACATTGGCAAGAAAGTCATAAAATAAAAATTGAGAATTAGCAAGGATGCCATGACAATGGCACCAAACAAAAGCTTAACAATTTGCATCAAACTGTTGGCCAATTAAAGATTTCTGTTCAAATAAATGTCTCGGGAAAGATTGTTTTGAATTCCTGGTACATTTAAAACCATTCTCCTAATGGTTTTAACAGTTAAGAACTGCTTCATTCTCTGCATGAAGTGATATAGTTAAGAGTTTTAAGTGCATATAGTGTGGCCAGCCTCAATCCACTTTATTATGGACATATACACTGTGCTATTTATAGCATAACAAACAACCAGTTCAAAAAATCTCATTCAAGGAGCTTAAGAGTGTCATGCAAAGAGACAATGGGAAGTAAGACATTAAATCAAATCCCATTCAGATGAATGTTAAACATCCTATGGCAATATTTGAAAATGGTACTGGTCAAAAATTACCCAGATAAAATTGGTCATTTCAGTTCATGGCTGACTGTTTGATGTGCTGTGCGAATTTGCTGTGCGAAATTTGGTCACCACGTTCACCTACATAAATACACAGTCACTACAGCCTACAGTAAATCTTGTGAGGCGCTTTGAGATGTTTCACTGGCATGATAAGGCATTAGATCAAGTACAAGGTTTCTAATATAATAATAATTATCCTTGCATTTGATATAGTGCTTTTCACATCTTCTCGATGTCTCAAAGCGCTTCACAGAAAATACTGTAAAGTGAATTGACTGTATATTTGTGGGCGAATAGCGGTGAGTGTGCGCAGCAGCCAAGATTGTGTCCGGGTGAAAACGACATTCAACGATTGCGAGAGGAGAGAATACTCCCACAAAAATAAATAAATAATAAATCAGTCATTCCAATCCGCGACTGTTTGTGGGGACGTCGCTGGTCACAACTGGCTGCCGCGTTTCGCCCACAAAATACACAGTCACTTCGCTTTGCAGTTCAGCGTATAATAAACTGCAATTGCACAGCCTACATTTTGTACCCCAACAAGTTATTTGAAAAAGCTATTTTGATGCAAACATCTGGACAGGGAACATAATTATAACTGCACTGAATCCAAAACGTGGTGTAATCTGGTTTGCAAATACCCGATTCTGATACGGGGCGCAAACTAACACAAATGAACAGTTCATGAACAAATACCTAACTTTCAAGTCGCCAGATCATGTAATTAACACCTCTCTACATGCAGTACTCTTACAAAATTCAAGTTCAAATTTGCAATCTCCCTCTCTCACTGCATCTATGCTTTCCTCCTATTGTAATTTTAACCATATATTTTATGCTAAGTAACTGAAATAACAAAAGACGACAGGACATTATTTGTTGAGTTTGGTGACACTGCCAACAAAATATGGCACCGCATAATGTTTTACAGAGGTGAACTTTGTCCATACACACTGTCACTACACAGAAAACTCTGAAGCACTTCTGGACGTTTCAATGTGATAAAGCATTTGTTCACCTATGAATACATCTTTTTTTGGTCTAACACATGCCATGGTTGAAAGTAACCCTTCGCCATGCTTGAACGTATAAAAGTTTTCCACCACTAGAACCCCTATACCACAGGTAGGGCTTTGGCTTACAGGGTTAACAGGAACTCAATGGGAAGAATACCTGCTCCTGGTGACTAGTCCGCCTTTCCAAGTCCTATTGATGAGCCAGGCTGGCTGGGCGAGAGTACTGCAGGCCTGCCAGGCTCAGAAACAGAACCATAGAGACCGCCACATTGGATCAACCCAATTCCGACACTCCATGCCAAGCACGTAGCCTTACAACAGCCTGCTTCAAGGAGATCCCACTTATATCCCCCCTTGGAATGTGTAGTGCAGCAATAGAAGGGAATCATCGTGACAACACAAATGTGAGCCACAAAGGACTGACTCAATTCCAACATTTCATTACCAAGCACGGCACCTTGGAGCCAATTCAGCACCAGGGAGATGCACTTAACACCTCCAAGGAGTATACAATTACACAGTCACTACACATCAACTGTAAGTCCCACGAAGCACTTGGAAATATCCACATGACATGAAAGGCACTATATCAAATGCAACAACTTGCATTTATATAGAGGCTTTCACATGAGGTAGCATCTTGGATAGTTTAAAGGATAATCCAAGATTTATTATCCAAGTCTCATTCCAAGATGTGTCCCTTCTTGAAAAGAATTCAATATCTGAAAGTAGATGATCTGTTTATATGTAGAATGTAATTTTACATTATTGATACAACGACAGATTAATTGGGCTCCCAGTCAGCTGTCATTTTCCTTTCTCTCCCCACCCTCCATGAAGGCAGTTGTGGGAGCGATATGAGACATCCACCCAACATAAAATGTAAGCATGTAAATTGTAATGAAAATTTCTGAATTTAAATAATTTATAATAACAAACTTTGCAATTTTTTGGAAAAAAGATCATACAGGCAAAATATTGAATTAGATTAAATAGGACAAAAAAATCTTGCATTCTCAAATGTAGCCCACTATAAATTGCTGGAAGGCAATTATACCAGAGCGAGGATAGATAAATTATTATTTTTAAAAGTTATGTTTTACTTCTAATTGAATTGTTTGATTTTATCTGTTTTATAGTGGGTTAGGATTCTTTATTATTCTATGATAATTTTCGACTGAGGAGCTTTACTGCTGCAAGTTTTTTTTCCCACATTCACTGGAAGAGCTGAATCAGTGCCATGAGTGTACAAATTACATGAGCACATCATCAACCAATGGAAAGAAGAGACCAAAATCAGAAAGGTTGTTTAAACAGTAACAGTTCGTCAGATAAGATGCAGTCAATTGTTTCTGATCTTATGTGGAATGCTGTCAAATATTTTCTAGGACAAATGCCAGCAAGCAACAGGAAAAACATCCAAGTTTCCACGAAAAACTCCCATCTGCAACCACAACAAGTGTATGTAACATGCTCTTAATTTAACCAAGGTCGGCTTCAGGTCAAAATAATTATTTTAAAAATAGCACACTGCCTCTACCAAATGCACAAGTCACATTAATCTATTAAACTAAGGAGTTATAGCAGCACATTTTTTTTTGTGTTTTATGCCTAAAAAGCAAATCCACTTCTAAACAGCTCCAGTCTTGGAGAGCCTAATCCTTCAGCAAAACATTTACTTTTTTTAAAAAAAAACTTCAGTTTTCTCCTATGGCCAATCTCATGAAGCCATCAGACTACTTCATCCTTCTACTGGGGTACAATTCTACATGCAATATTCACCCACGTGGTCATTATTCATGTAAGCTTTGACTGAGTGTTGGGAGGCTGCCCAAGTGCGTCACAGAAGAAGCTCAACCATGTCCTCACCCGACATCCACGCACACATACACACGCATTTAATCTGATATAGATTTCTGCACGAGGGCCAGGATTTACGGTTGATTTTCCTCTCCGTAACTCAGGGATGCTGGGTTCAATTGTATTGCCAACTAGTACTTTTGCCATGATCAGCTAGATCGATTATTATTATCATCACCAACAAACACCTGGATTTGAATCTATAACTCTCTAATCTGTCTAGCCTAGTCTTCATTGGCTGGTGCTTTTACACGTCATTGGAAGAGTTATATCTTTCAAATTTTAAATCCCTTCATCATTATTGCTTCTGGATTTTTTGAATCTTCATAGAATGCAGCAATTTATTGCTCTGGGGTTAATCATCCGCGCAGATTTTGAAATACTGTGTTCTGTATAAAAAACGAATTCACAGCCAGTACTGTCCAGAATTCAGTAGAGTTGACAAAAATATTCTCAGGGTTAATCGGGTTCAAGAACAGATTGCAAACATCATTACAATTGTTGTGGCAGGATTCTTGCCAATTGGCACCTTCACAAATTCAAGGCTGTTTTTGCCACACAGACTCATCTACACTGGAATCATGCCAACTTAAGATACAGATATAGAACCACTGTGAGCGTTATCCAAAGTTACTACTTTCCAGCTTTGAGACTTTGAGTCATGTACTATACTGCGGTTTGAGATTAAAATTATACTAATCTGTTTAATTTTGCTGACCATATTTACCTGCACACCACTTTCTATGACTTTGCAAAAAAAATGCTCCTTTTATTTATTATATAAATCACTTCATGCGTTAGCAGCTTTCTCCCTCTCTCCTGCTACATGCTCCTGTCCCTCTATGCGCCAACAATGGCTAAGCCTTCAAACATAATGCCCCCAATCCTGGAACTTCCTGCACTATCCTCCAACTCATCCTGTCTCTATCCGTCTTGAAATCCCACCTCTTCGACCTCACCTATGGTCACCCACAGCTCCACTCCACTTTCACGGACTGCACTCCCAAATCCCTTTGCTCCTCAGCTCCTTGGAAGACACTGAACCGGTGTGTAACCTAGGCGTCAGGTTAGACCCAGTTGTCCTTCCTTCCCCACATCCGGTCCCTTACCAGGACCGCCTTCCTCCACCTCCGCTACATTGCCTGCCTCCGACCGTACCTTTCCCCAGACACAACCGAAACACTCGTCCATGCGTTCATCATTTCCCGACTCGACTTCTCAAATGCCCTCTTTACCAGTCTCCCCAACACCACCATACACAGGATCCAGCTGATCCAAAACTCCGCCACCTGCATACGCATCCGTACTAAACTCTGTACCCCCATCACACCAGTTCTGGCCAGGCTCCACTGGTTCCTTATCGCTGAATGGATCAACTTTAAGATCCCTTCATGTCCTGGCTCCTCCCCACCTGTATGACCTGCTTACTCGTCAACCCACTACCTGCTGTCTCCGCTCGACTGGCTCCGGCCTCCTAATATACCTAATTTAAGTGTGACAGGTATATTACATGTCTACCAAGCCTTTGGCATGTCCCTCATGCCCTCTTCCACCATTGTTGACCATGCTTTCAGCCACTAGTCCCCCAAAACTTTGGAGCCCACTTCCTCTATACCTCCACCATGCATGCCCCTTCCCCCATCTTCAGATCGCGCCTGAAGACCTTCCTCTTCAACCATGCCTACGATCATCTCCCACCTCCCTACAGCTAAGCGTCGTGCTCCGCCACTGTCAAGCACTCTTGGACGGTATCCTTCGTGAGAGATGCTATACAAGTGCAAGTTGTTGTCAGTTGTTGAAAGATTTAATAATAATAATAATCCTTGCATTTGATATACCGCTTTTCACGTCTTCTGGACGTCCCAAAGCGCTTCACAGAATATGCTGCAAAGTAAATTGACTGTATATTTATAGGCAAAACGTGGCAGCCAATTGCACACAGCAATGTCCCACAAACAGTCGTGGACTGAAAATGACCAATTTATTATTGTTTTGTTTTTTGGAGGGATTATTATTAGGCGTGTGGAGTAAGGAAAACTTGTCCAAGGTTTTGCCCTGCCTGGAACTGAACCCAAGGCAAGTGCTCTAACCACTGAGCTACAGGACTCCATGAACAAGTGGGAGAAAGGATACAATGGTTAGGAAGGTGTGAATCACTGATGAAACAAGTTTTGCAAACAAAGACTGTTGGAGCTGTAAAGACTTTGCATAATTTATGACTATAAAACAGCTGTCCCAGGATCATAAAACAAATCTCTCATTAGAGAGTACATGTTATGTTGCCAAGAGTAAATCTGTCACTAAGAGTAGAAGGCCATCACTTAACAGTCTGCTACCCTTAACAAGTTGAAACATCTGGGGAAAGGTCCTAAGAGGAAAATGCTCGATTAACAATATTTAACCAGCACTCAAAGGTCCAAATCCATTGCAGAATACAGGCTTGCTCAGGTATCTGGACTTTCCATCAACAAGTGGGCGAAAGGATGCAATGGTTAGGAAGGTGTGAATCACTGATGAAACAAGTTTTGCAACAAAGACCGTTGGAGCTGTAAAGACTTTGCATAATTTATGACTATAAAACAGCTGTCCCAGGATCATAAAACAAATCTTTAATAATAATCCTTGCATTTGATATAGCACTTTTCACGTCGGGAGGACGTACCAAAGCGCTTCACAGAACACACTGTAAAGTGAATTGACTGTATATTTGTGGGCGAACGCGGCAGCCAATGGCGCACAGCAATGTCCCACAAACAGTCGTGGATTGAAAATGACCAATTTATTATTGTTTTTGGTTTTTGGAGGGATTATTATTCGGCGTGTGGAGTAAGGAAACTTGCCCAAGGTTTCGCCCTGCCAGGAATTGAACTCAGGTCTCTCACTTGCAAAGCGAGTGCTCTAACCACTGAGCTACAGGACTCCACTAGAGAGTACATGTTATGTTACCAAGAGTAAATCTGTCACTAAGAGTAGAAGGCCATCACTTAACAGTCTTCTACCCTTAACAAGTTGAAACATCTGGGGAAAGGTCCTAAGAGGAAAATCCTCGATTAACAATATTTAACCAGCACTCAAAGATAGTGAATCTAGGATAGTTAAATTGCCAACTGAACACAGCACCATTTTCCACACAAAAACAAGCAGTCATCAAAATCAGTGAGGTGATTAAAGGTTAAAATAAGCAATTCCGTTCAGTTTTGTTTTTTACTGATAATAAATACCAGTGTGTGAACATTCCCACATTCACAAATTTGCTTCATTTCCCCATATACTCCAATATTTTCCAGATCACTTTAATTTTGTTTTGATATTAAAACAATCTCTTTTGCCAATGTTTCTTCATCTTTCTTTCCACCACTCCCAAGGGGAACATAGAGGGTTTGAGCCAAGGTGGAACAAAGCCTACTTAGTAGACATGCAGTATACCCGTTACACACACGCAATTAGGTGTATTGTCTCTTATAGAGTATAAATTGTCAATCTAAGAGAGAATCTACATTCACTCAGGTTCCTTGCCTGACTGAGCTTATGCACACCTAGAATGTCCCTCAGTCTTCCTCTGCAGGGATGTCTGGGCATTTCCATTTGGGGAAAGCACCTCTCCCGGTTAATGGAAGGCATTATTGGGCACTAAACACACACTCCTGCCTCCTTCCTTGCTCCAAGATCCTTCCATGAGTTAGTCTAACTTTGGTGAGCATGTGCTATTGTGCAGCAAGGCACTCTGTATAGCAATCGTGAATAAGAAACCTGGTAATTTTTGCACTTGCTAACACCTTAGTGCTACGGTCAATTGGAGCAACCCACCTACTGCCTAATGAAATCAACTAAATTTAGTACAGACCAGATTTCAAGTCTGCAACATTTTTGTCTTTAAGATCTGGTGCTTCACTGAATACCAACATCCTCCACTTTGATTTTCAAATTTCTGACGTGTATGTTTAACAATAGTTCACTTTTCAATATCTCTTTATTTTTTAAGGTTAGCTTGACCTACACAAGTAACTCAATTCATAATAGTCAGCTTTAACATTAATCTATTTATTGTGCAATATGTACAGCAACAAAACATTCTTAAAACCTAGTCAGTTATCGTATAAGAACCATATTAACATTCACATCAAAAGGAAATTACACAACAGAACAATGCAATTATTCTATACATTCAATAAAAGAGATTAAGAGAATAATGGGCAGATTCTCATATTTAAGAGAGCAAATGTTTACCAGAAAATCCCTTCACCACATCCCAAAAATTCTCATCAGGTGACATCCCTTTTGACAATTTCAAGGGCACAACATTTTAGAAAAGTAAACAAAGTACTTGTATAATAAGATGGATTCAGTGTATAACTAATCAAGTTTTCACCAGGTCATTAAAAATAATCTACAAGAAGCCAGTTATTGCAGATGTGCATCTCTTATTCAAAACTTCTTACTGGGTGTCAAAGTAAACAAAATTCAGGGAAATCTTTCAGACATCAACAGACATCTTTCCCCTCACCACTACCTGTTTGGGCTCCTATCCTCAGCCATCGTGTTGAAACGTTTCCCAATGTGAAAGGGGCTATATAAATATATACTGTATTATACTGAAGTATATGTTGGACACAGCTTTAGTAATCACATACTAAACAGTTTCATATCTGGAAACTCTCACGCAGCAGATCTTACACTATACAAGTGTTAAGCGAAATATTCTTGTCACTTCAATAACAAAAAAACAGTTTACAAGTACATAGACACAGGGGAAATCAGTATTTATGAAAAATAAGATAGACTGGCATAAGTGGTTTGACTTTCCACAAAATATCAATCCTTGATGTGTATTGTGTGCATAGAACAAGAACATGATCACAATTTTAATGTTTAAAATATTGAAATATTACAATAATATTTGGCAGGAGAACAATTATTCTGTTCTGGTCACTAAATTTACTGACATTCAGAGAATATGTCTCTGCCAGTACAGGTGTAGACTGATGGTGAGCTCTGCAAGTCTGCTAAAGTTTCAGCATCTGCTAAATGGGTTGACGGATGGTGACATTTTGCAAGGAAAATTGGAAAGTCCAAACATATTTTCATCAAAAATATGCACCTCTTACATAAGTCAGTCCTATAATTCAGTGGTTAGAGCACTCGTCTTGCAAGCGAGAGACCTGGGTTCGATTCCCAGCAGGGTGAAACCTTGGGCAAGTTTCCTTACTCCACAAGTCTGATAATAATCCCTCAAGAAAAAAAAAACAATAATAATTTGGTCACTCAATCCACGACTGTTTGTGGGACACTGCTGTGTGCAATTTGCTGCCGCGTTTTGCCCACAAAATATACAGTCAATTCACTTTACAGTATATTCTGTGAAGTACTTTGAGACGTCTAGAAGTGAAAAGCCCTATATCAAATGCAAGGATTATTATTATTATTTATTAAGCACAAACAACAGGAACTTGATAGTATTTGTAGACTGTTGTGGCAAGATCTCGGTGAGTAGACATTTTAGACTTTGCCTTCCGTAGGGTTCTGCCTGATTGTTAGTCAGAGTGATTCAAGTTGTTAAAATGAATAGTTACTTTTACAGACACAGATGCCTATCATAAACTGACACATATACTGGTTACTTAACTTAAACGTGTTTTAACAGATAAATTGACAGTTGTGGCGGCTAGGGCCGCTGTATCACACCGACAGCTGCTCGCTCTGCGCAGGCGCAGTGCATTTTAGTGTCGGTCCTCCAGGACTGGTGTTCCTAGAGGTCTCATGTCGACATAGTCATCCCAGATATCGTCAATGAGCTCTTTTCCCTTGATTGACGATATACCAGGAGTTTACCGTAACCATCAAAAGAAAACTATCCTTTGTTAAGTTTCTGGAACGTACCTCTTTGACATCCAGAAGACGTTCTGGGCACTGGTTCTTGGCACGTCGGGCAGTTGCTGGAGATTTGTGATGGGTAATGGTGACAATACCTGGTCCACTGGATGACAGATGTTTTTGGCTACCAGGAGATGTTGAGTTTGATACCCCATGAGGCAGTAACGATAAACTTCTAGCCCGTACAGATGGAGTACTCTAAAACAAACAAAAAAAGGTATTAGCGTTGAACAGTTCCTCAATGTTCATCTGCCTCCATTTCAACAAACCTATTTTTAGCTAAGTTAATTCCACATTTGATGAAGCATAAGTTATGAGTTGACCATGTTTTCTCAAAATCATATATTCTGTGAAGTGCTTTGAGACATCTAGAAGACGTGAAAAGTGCTATATCAAATGCACGGATTATTATTATTATTACATGCTAATAACATTTGTAAAACAATAGTGCCTAACTTCCATCCAAAAATTGTCTTTTTAAATCTAGTCTTTCAAGCCTGCCAAGGAAAATATATTCTAAAGGTATTCGTATTTCAGTACTCATAAAAGCACCCTCCAAATGTAAATTATTCTTAACACTCTCTATATGCAAAATTTATAATCCAGTTGTAAAAATTAAAATTTGTTAAAAAAATGTTAAGTAACGATTTAGACACTTGGAAAAATAGTACTTAATTTAGTTGATTCTCTAGAATCAAATATCTGGTTACATTTTCTTGAGGATCCGAAAGTTATGCTCTTTGAGCTACGAATATAGAAAAAAACATCATGTTCGCTCTCGTAATTTTAAATGCCAACCCGCTGTGGCAATTGGCTGCCGCGTTTCACCCCCAAAAGATACAGTCAATTCATTTTACAGTATATTCTGTGAAGCGGTTTGAGACACCTAGATGACATGATAAGGCACTATATCAAATGCAAGTATTATTATTATTACTACTACTACAAATATGAGCTCTCCAATTTAAGTAGAGCAAACTAGATGGTTTAACAATTGCTTCCAGTTCTGCTCCCAGATTTATTTTAATTGCACTTTTTATAGTTGCTACATTACTGAGACCAGAATATTCCATATGTTACAACATGATTTTTCAATCTCCAAAAATCAAACACTTATGTCTTGACATCTACTGAAAGTAACCTGAAATATGAACTAATTTTTTCAATGTATTCCTACTTTTTAAGTAATGGAATGGCCTATCAAACACGGTATTTTAGAAAGGAATTGGACAAATATTTGACAAAGAAAAATATAAAAACTTAGCAATAGGCAAACTTGCACAACTTTTCTAACATGGTGAATTTTCTGGTATTTGTTCTCTCCCTTTAAAATTGAAAATAGGATCTCAACAAGTACTAAAATAGCTGACCTCTGCCAGAAAATGTAAAATGGTAATGGCAAAGCTCCTCTCAGAGCTTTTTTCATTTTTCTGGAATGTTTCAATCGACTTCACACAGCCTTCAATAAATTGCTATTTTAAAACAAGATCTACAGTTCAGCTCAATGCAGGATTATCAACAAATTTTATAAATATAATACGAGTCATATACTGCAGTAAATGTCCCCTCAGTCAGTTAATGGGAACTGAGTGGGAAAAGACCCTGCACCCAGTGACTGGTCTGCCCTTCCAAGTCCTGTAACCTTCCAACTTCCAAGAGCTAAGCTAACTGCGCTGTCACTAGCAGTCAGTGCCCTGGAGGATTGCAGACCAGTCTGGCTCAGAAACTGGATTGCCAAGACTGCCAGAGGGCTGGCTCGATTCCAACATTCCACTGCCCAACAAAACATGTTGCCTTGGAGCCAGTCCCCACCCTGTCACCCCCAAGGCGACGAAAGCGTGGACGAGAGTTTGGGCTGCATTGGATGTGAGGTACGGTCGGAAGCAGACAATGTGACGGAGGTGAAGGAAAGTGATCCTGGACGGGGATTGGATGTGGGGTAAGGACAGCGGAGGATAGAATCTGTCTCTTAAGTTACAAAGTTACACACAAGTACAGTAAGTCTGAGAGATAGGCCGGAGAGGGTGAGGAGGTCAGACCGCAGGACAAAAANCGTTGACAGGAGTCAGGGTTACAAGAAGTTTGCGCTCAGCCGTACCCTGATGTCTGCCAGACAAGCCAACAGAACATCTGCGGACCTGGAGTAGATTTGAGTGTCATATGGAAGTTGACCCAGTGTCTGCGGATGATATTGCGAGATGGAGCATGTAAATGAGGAAAAGAAGGGGGCCGAGGATAGAGCCTTGGAGTACACTGTAGGTGATCGTGCGAGTTCGGAAAGCCTTGTGCCACAAACAGCCATGAAGTGAATGACCAATTTTATTTATGGGATGTTGGTCAGGACACTTCCACATCATTTGAATTCATAGAACAGCAACAGCAATTAGATATCATTACTGCAACACATATAACTATAATTAAGTATAAATTAACAAAGAATGGAATGCATACTTTTATCTAACACTTGGCTTCATTGAGTGCAATAATAATCTCAGCTGTTTCTGAGACTCTTTCTGATTAGGTTCTTATTTTCTATGATCAGACCAAGGATTCTTGCGGCCAGTTTCGAGCATTGATGCATCAGGAAAATGCTCTGGAAAGTCATCCGGGGAGAACCTTTGCATGTTGAGCTCCCATGGAACACACAATGGCTCTATCATAAAATTTGTTAGTAGCCAACTACCTAACTATGCCCAATTTCTTCACTGACCCAGAAGACAAGTTATAAAATGAATAAAAATTAACCCTGCCACCCCTCTACATCAGAACGCAGTGCAAAAAAGTGACCATTTCCAGGCCATCAAGTCACTGCTGACGGCATTGCCTTCACAAAGTGATGTTGGTGCTGCTTCTTGCACATAGCGTGCATGGTCAGCATGGAGGAAGTGATGGCGGAGATGACCTGACAACCTAGAAATAAGTCATTTTTAGTGCAGGAAGCTGGCAAGTCAACAACGGAAGCTGGGCTTGCTGCAATTCCAGTACCAGCACAGGTCAACTGTGCTCTACGGGAATCTGTGCTTAACTAGGGCACATTCTAATAGAGCTGCCCTTTGTTAAAAAACAAAAACTGGGATATTCTCGCTTTAAATGTTACCAACGGGAATTTCAGTGAGGCAATCAATATCCAACTGAGACTCAGAAATTCAGTGCTTTACATCAACGACATTTTACCTTGACATTACTTTCAGTGTGGTATTTCGCAGAAGCCTGAAGCTGGTTCACCCAGTAGAGTCTTTCTTTGGCATCTCCAGCTGCAGTGCAGAAGCAGACATGTATTTTAACAAGAAGGAAAACAAATCATTCTTCTTTTTAACACTATTCAACAAATGCTTTACACAACTCATGCAATTTGCATGTTAGTAAAAGATTTATAAATATCAGTATAGACTCATATGTAAGGTTTTTGAATTTAAAAAATCCTTCCTTAGGAAGTCAAGGTTCAGCCGCCTAATACTCTTAAGAGGACTTTGTGATAAGCTTCTAAGAGAGCTTATCACAAAGCCTTCTTAGACAGCAACTATTTTGAACACAAACTTTTGTCAGAAAATAAATAAATGTGCCACCTAAAAGTATTACAATCGACTGACTTCCTTGTGAAGATTTGGTTTGGTCTCAATTACAATAATAGACTGACATGAGATAACTCACTGTATAAGGCTTTTTAAGTCGAACAATAAGTTTAACACTCAAGCTCACCAATTGGGAATGAAATATTCCATCAAAGGAGCTAAACATCAATTTATTGTTTTACACATATGCTGCTTTGATGTAATGTAAAATCAATTGTTCTAGTCAGTCTTCATAACTTGGATACATATAAATTATTTTAAAAAAGAATTGGCAAGAACATACCTACAGTTACTGTGCAGACATGTAGGAATTACTGTAAATGTTTATAAAATAATTCTGATGCTGCTATTGGGGAAGCTCACAGGGAGTTCCCGGTATCTGCTATTCACCTCGTGAGGGCTCAAACTGGTGCTTGCTTGTCGGATATCAAATTGCCAACTAGTGACTATCTTCCAGTGATGGGGGAGGGTAACGTCCCAATGGGTGGTGTAGTCCTAGCTGGACAAGCAACAGGAAGCTCACCAGACAGTGCTGTCAATGGCAAACTGTGGATTTAGCTGGATTAAACTCCAGCTGACTCCAACACACATCCTTGGCTGAGCTCTTACCTTAACTCTTGCAAACATATGCATAATACTCTCTGGAATTAAGATAGGAGGACACGTCCCTTCAGAGAGAGAGAGAGAGAGGAGAGAAAGAGAGCATTCCATTCAAGACACAGTACAAATTACATTAGTAGGTGACAGACAAACATGGAATTCAGTCTGGTTTGGATACTCTTATGCATGGTGATATGGTGATGTGTTTCTGCATGCATCAGACACCCGGCTGACAAAAGATAATTGACCTAAGGACCTGGAAGTCTGTCATTTCAACACAAGAGCCGGTTGCCAAGTGGAATTGAGTGCGCTGGCTGGGCTGACATGGTAGTAAATTGTGTCCTCACAGCACAATACAAATGACATGACAAATTAATATTTATACAGGGTTGTGGACAGGATGTCCCAAATCATTTAACAGTACTGCCTGGGCATTCAAGCTGCAGTGGGAGCCGAGGAAGGTTAGAAAGGGGAAAAGATGACCAAAAGCACGGTGAAAACTGCATTACACCAAACCCAAATCAGTATAAAGAAACATTATAACAGGGCTGCATTATATTGCACGCTGTAACATTTCAATTTGATAAGGTGCTATAAACAATGCCAATGTTTTCTTTGATAATTTGTAGCCGATTCCATACTCAAAATGAGTATATTGCATACTTTTCTTTTAAATTTGTAATATAGTATTTACAAATTAATCAATATGCTGCAAAAATTAGATATTGATTTACAAGTCACTTTTAAAAAAAAATTCTGGTGGATTTTGCTCCTATTAAGGTTAAAACACCAGATTTTGGGGAGGAAAATAAGGCATGATGTTGATACGAAAAGCACTAACTTCCAATTGGTCACTCAATCCACAACTGTTTGTGGGACACTGCCGTGCGCAATTGGCTGCCGTGTGTCACCCACAAAATATACAGTTAATTCACTTTACAGTATATTCTGTGAAGTGCTTTAAGACGTCTCGAAGACATGATAAGGCACTATATCAATTGCAAGGATTATTATCATCAAAAACATTAACCATTCAAGGCTCGCTCCAGAAATAATGCTGTTGGTTTAATAGTTAATTGTAACCTTTTTAGGTGTAATGCCACCCAATCCCTATCTACCAGTTATAAGACGATTCAATGCATGTATTTCCCTCTCGGTTTATACATATTACAAGATTTGAATTTATAAATCAGCAACAAAATCACAGCGGCCAATTGAGCACATTTCTTAATTTCAAAATAAAAACCCAAATGCAGCTTCACTGTGGGGTAACTAGGAATGCAAGACAGAAGATTCACATCAAACTCACATAACATGTTGATCAAATTTTCCTGTTGAGTTCAATGAAAATTTAAATTGGACAATGAGGAGGGAGTATGTAACACTTTACTCTGCAATATCTCTCTCCTCAGGCTCTGTTCCACTCCCCCTGAAAACCGCTGTCATCACATTCCACCTCAAAAAAACCACCATCGATCCCTCTAATCTCTCCACTACCATCCCATCTCCAACCTATCCTCCTTGCAAAATCCTGGAACACGTTGTTGCAGGTCAACTTCGGACACACCTTTCCCTCCACGAGCCCCTGCAGTCTGGTTTTCGCCCTGCCCACAGCACAGAGACAGCGCTTGTCAAAGTCACAAACAACGTCCTCTCTATCTGTGAACAGGGCTTCCTCTGTCTCCTCTTCCTCCTGGATTTTCTCTGCCGAGTTCGACACAGTCGACTACGCCATCTTCCTCCATTGGCTCTCCTCCTTCATCTACCTTAGTGGGACCCCACTCGCATGGTTCGAGTCCTACTTAACTTCCTGCAGCTGAATATGGACAAGACGGAAACCATATTCCTTGGCTTCGGTCAACGTCTTCACTCCTGTGGATCTGAACCCCTTAACCTCCCTGGGCTCTCCCTCACACTCTCCCAACCAGTGTGCAACCTAGGCGTCCGGTTTGACCCCCAGCTGTCCTTCCTCCCCCACATCCGGTCCCTGACCAGGACCACCTTCATCCACCTCCGGCACATTGTCCACCTCCAACCGTACCTTACTCCAAATGCAGCCAAAACCCCGTGCATGCATTTCTCACCTCCACGCTGGATTACTTAAACGCACTCCGCAACGGTCTCCCCAGCTCCCACATTCATAAGATCCAGTTTATTCAAAACTCTGCTGCCCGCACACTAACTCAGACCAAATTCCATGCCCACATCTCTCCAGTTCTGGCCAGTTTCCACTGGTTCCCCATCACTGAACGGAACGGCTTCAAGATCCTCATTCTCGTGTTGAAATCCATTCACTCCCTAGCACCTCCCTACCTCTCCGACCTCCTCATTTCCCAATCTACCATCTGGCACTTCCGCTCGACCCTCCACCCTACCATCGGAGGTCGTGCTTTCGGCCACTACACCCCAAAACTCTGGAACACTCTCCCTCAATCCCTCCACCTTGCCCCCTCTCTCCTCCCTTTCAAGTCCCGCCTGAAAACTTTCCTCTTCAACCGTGCTTACGGCCACCAACCCTCTGGCTCAGAGTCAGGCTCCGCCACTGTTAAGCGCTCTAAGACGCTACCCTGCATGGAAGGCGCTATATAAGTGCAAGTTGCTGTTGGTGGTGTTTTGGTTTTGAGGTGGAATGTGTATAAGTGTACACCATTAGGGCCAGAGCCATTCATCGAATGATCCAAACTGAACATGATATCCAATGGGTAAAGTATAAAATAAGATGAAGACTTGCAACATGCAAGGACACAGTGCACACACTCTTGGAACAAAATATAAATGTTGTTTTATATATAAAAATACACTATTAATATTAAACGTTTTAAAACTTACATTAAAAATGTACCCAACCCCTGGCAAACCCATTTAAAAGGGAGATCTGGTCTGCCTAGCCAGACCAGATCTCCCTTTTAAGTGTTAATGCATTTAAAATAAATACTGTGTAATAAAATACACCTTGTAAATCTACTTAAAATAAATCCTCCTTAATATTTAAATTCGACTCCACCACTGTAAAGCGCTCCGGGACGCTACCCGCGTGAAGGGCGCTATATAAATGCAAGTCACAGTTATAAATTGAAAAAAAATCAATTTTACACGCAGGTGGGCTTTTGGCTCGAAGATTTTTTTNAATAAGTCTGAATTCTGGATACTTGAAATCTGGTTAGCTGAGTGTTGAGTTGATTTTTTACACATCGTGAATACAGTATAGACTTACACAGTATATTCCTGTAATGCTAAGATAGAAGGAGCTTACTGATTTTGTAACACAGCAGCAATTAATTCTGAGTTTATGCAGTGCTGTTTTTCACCAATTCAAACCAACTTTTTTTTCATTCCTCATTTATAAACGAGAAACAAACCTATTTTTAAGCAAGTGGATGATAGATTCGACTGATCATAGAAGAGCTTCTTCCAGTGTCCTGGCCAATGATCCAGCTAAATTTAAAAATGGTCACTCATTTCATGGTTGTTTGTGAAACGTTACTGTTTGTAAATTAACTGCCATGTTTGTCTACAAATACAAAGTTACCACATTTCACAGTAAAATCCTGTGTTGTACTTTGAGCCAACTTGACAACGTGATATATCAAAAAAGGCACATATAATAAAGAGCATCTGGTCACCAAATGACATCTGAAATTTATCCCCATCTTTTCATAGTGGTTGCATATTTCCTGTGTTTTTTTAATATTGTTCATTTTTGAGCAGAAGCCATATCTATTCTAAAATGAGAATTTTAGCAACATTTGAAATATTCATTTTTCCCCTAATTTGGACATTTTGGTTCCTGCCACGTGGAGATATCTTATTTGCAGCACTTCCAGAAAGAGTAGGCAGTAAGCGAGCTGTTCTGAAAAAAAATCATACTCTGTAAACCGCTAACATCGGCTGGATCACAATAGTGACTAAGCATTACATGCACCAGCCAAGATTGAAACCCTCACTGTTAGCAACTGAAGGAACAGAGCAACATGCAACCACTCTATATTAAAAAAAGCACATTAATACATTGCAGTAACAACTGGAATGAGTTAGTCAGTAAAACCCCCTCCTACCCCCAACAGGAATCTCAATATGACCACTAATATGTTTACCTCATTATCATTTGCCTTCATCTCGTTCCTTTTAAACATGACTGAGATACTTGTACTGAAACGTTTTATAACAGCCAATGAGATGATCTATTTAGTAACTTACATCTGCAGAAATACATCCTGTTATTGTTCTAAATGTGCAATTACCAACTAACAGTGAAGGCAATAAGTTATCTAACAACTTCCTTTCTCAGGCTATTTTTATGTATAGGTCAGAAATTGCCTTTTTTTTAAAAATGCAACGGTATTGTAACAATTTGTGTTACACACACTATTTTAATGATTGAACATCTCAACAATATTGTGGCACATAGCAGAATTGCTATTTTATTATGGGAGTGCCTTAAATTTTTAATATTCATTATACTTTTTTTCGGTCAGCCAGGTTTCTGACACATGCAGATATGCACACGTAAGAATATCCAAACTAAACAGAGTTCCATACATCCCACCTACACATTGAAATTCCCAAGATATTTATTAGAATGTAATGCGTACTCTTTCCCTGCTTACCTAATTCCAGAGAGCGTTAGACGCAAGTTGACAAGTGTCAAAGCTTGGGGAGCCCAGAGAGTGTTTTTGGTACTCCAGATCAGGTAATCAGAACAAATTATAATATGCAATTAATTTCTGGTACTTCAGCAGTAAAATACATTCCTGGATAAAAGAGCACATTTTATATTAAAAGTGCAAGTCACTATTAAACGTGAATGTAATTAATAGCATAATTTGCTATTTCAAGGCCAATATCTTCATAACTACCTATGTTACTCCATGATCAAACACCATAAGGCGACAACCAAACTTATCTTTTCTTTCCCTTCCTGATTATAGGAGTGAGTGCATTCAGGTGGCAGGAAAGCATGGATTTCACGTTAGGTCAACTCTCTGACCTACTGATATAGACATATACATTGTACACGTCTCATTCAACAACAAAGTTACATACGTTTTGGCCCAAACCGGAGAGATGCCAAGTCAGGTCTGTATTAAATCAACCATGTGGGAAGCTGCTCATATTTTCTAAATGTATCTCTAATTACTAATAGAGCAAAACATATTCATTATTTCAGTCATGAAAATGCAGGACATGTTTGCAATACCTCGGAGTTTATACAGTTCACCATTGGCAGCTTGGACTACAAACATGTGGGAAACTTCATCACTGGGTGAGATCAAGGCGCCAGACAAATGCAGGACTCCTCTTGGCTTCTGACCTTTGCATTGTTCGTTTACAAAGTACTGCAGCACACCCAACTCCGAGTTCAGAACAAAATACCTGTACCACAAAAATATTTCATGTTAATCATTTGCTTGACTAGTTATACTGTAATATACATTAAATAACCAATTTGCTAGTTTCAGTAATAAACACAGTTAGATCTTGCATATCAAACCATAACAAATAGATGACAAAGAACTTAATTCTACAAATAAAATAAATTTAGCAATCGATGGCATCTATCACACATTATTCGCTAACAGCGATTCGTTCGTTTGGTGTTTATAACAAGAAATGGTGATCATTATGGAGTCCTGTAGCTCAGTGGTTAGAGCACTCGCCTCACAAGTGGGAGACCTGGGTTCAAAACCCGGCAGGGTGAAACGTTGGGCAAGTTTCCTTACTCCATATGCCTCTGTTTACCTATCAGTAAGTAGGAACCCAGTTGTTAGTCGATTGTCGGATCGCTTTTTCAGGGGTAATAATGCCTTCAAGAGTTAATAATACCCACAACTGTTTGTAGGACACTGCTGTGCGCAACTGGCTGCCTTGTTCACCCACAAAATATGCAGTCAATTCACTTTACACTTTACACTATAATCCTGTGAAGCACTTTGAGACGTCTTGAAGACGTGAAATAGTGCTATATGAAATGCAAGGATTATTATTATTATCATCATCATCATTATGCCATACACCAACATTTCATGACAGTACTCTGAGCACAGCTTGAAAAAAATCACAGGCAGAGTTTTCTCTGCAGGTACATTAATCCTTAATGTCTGAGAAGAATGGTGCAGGGCCATGCTTTTCTGTTTGGCCATCACCAGGTGATCTAATTTTGTCCTGAAAGTTTGAACTCTTTACAAATTCGATCAAAATTAGTACCCATGGTGTAGACCTGCTGCCTTTCTTTGAACTGAAAGTCGCAGAGGCAGAAGTGATAATCTTACACACGATTAGTCACATAGTATCTTAAATTCTGTTGCGAAACAGGTTGATTGGAATTCAGGAATGATGAGCTCTACGAACTCTCACGATGACACATGAATATGATGTGAATAGCTTGGAAAACAGACTGCAGTGGGAAGTGTGCAATGGATTAAACTCAATCATAAATTGTAATCATTCTGTTTGTATATAATTTTTAGTTTTGAAAACCGATGCAAGTGGCACTCTCATAGCTGAGTGGTTAAAAGTACCACCCGGTGAGCTCTATACCATCAAGAACGGAAGGCGCCAGGTTTCAAATCCAGTTTGTGGCATTAATGGATCTCAGATGGTGCAGCAGGAGAGCCTTTACAATTGGTCTCAGCACTTTGGGTTGAGGAGGGGAAAATCAGCCAGGGTTGCTGCTGCTCGCGAGTCGAGAGAACACCACTGGAAGTTGTGCACGTTTCAACAATAGTTGAGTGAATGCTATCGGCTGTGATGGTTGAATAGGTAGCCATCCCTTACGGGTAAGGCTCAAATATGAAAAATGACCATTTCAGCAAGGTACAGTGGGCACCAAAGGAACCGGATTCGAGCATAAGGAAAACAGACCATAGCAGCAGCAGTGAAACAAAATCAAAATATTATCCTGTTAGCTTACATATGCAATAACACAGATTTCTTGCATAATAATAATAATCCTTGCATTTGATATAGTGCCTTGTCACGTCTTTTGAGACTTCTCAAAGCGCTTCACAGAATATACTGTAAAGTAAATTGACTGTATATTTTCTGGGCGAAACGTGGCAACCAATTGCGCACAGCAGTGTCCCACAAACAGTCGTGGATTGAGTGATCAAATTATTATTATTTATTTTGACGGGATAATTACGTATAGTGCAATAATGCATGTGGCCCTTCAGTTGAGATATTAACCCGAGTTTCCATCCGCCAGTCAAGCTGGATGTTAAAGATCCCATGGCACCATTGAAAAAGAGAAGGGAGTTTCTCCCAGGTTCCTGGTAAAACAATCCCCCAAATAAAATGAGTCATTCACTTTGTGGCTGTATGTGGGACACTGCTGTGTGTAAATTAGCTGCTACATTCTCCTATAAAGTACAGTCACAACACATTGCAGTATATATGGGAAGCACTTTGATACATCTTCCCAACATCAAAAGCTCTATCAAATGCAAGTTATTATAATATAAATCAACTAAATTGTTTTCTTTCTAATCTCTGTGTGTGTGTTTATATAATTGCAGGACTGTGAACAGTAAACACAAAACATGAGCTGGAATTATTCATCTGCAACTTGAGTTGCTCTGGGACGCTACCCTGCATGAGGGGCGCTATATAAATGCAAGTTGTTGTTGAGTACGATGCACAATTGCAACCGTAGTTCAACATGACAAGATGCTATCAATGAGTTTGTAAGGAGGTAATTTTAATTAAATGCTTTAAAAATCTGATTATATAACTTTAAATTTATTACTACAAAGTTTATACTATGTAGTATTCTCTATGATATGTGAGTGTTTATTTCCAGATCTTTTGATGTAGGTGATGTTTTAAAAATAAGTATTTTTTCTGGTTAATGTTCCTCAGCTTCCAATTTTACTATTTAACTTAAATTAAGTGGCTGTTCCACCTCATTGTTTGTGGGACTTTGCTTGTGCATGTTGGCGGTTAGATTTGCCTATATAACATTCACTTTAATTTCAAAATATTTATATTTTGTAAAATGCTTTGAGAAATTTATAAATTGCAGATTATTCTTTCTGACAGTAGATTTTTGGTATTTTAGGCAAAATGCAACATTCTTGACCTAGAACCAAGTACCAATGTTAGTTGTATTACAAGTCTCCCTTTAACAAACTACAAGAAACATGTTGTACCCTATATTGTCACGATTTACACTATATGCTATAGTGTATTTGTATTGATACTACTATTTGCAGAACAGATTGATTTCAAGATCTTTACACTTACTTATAAATCAATTCACGTCCTAGCACTGTGCTACCTCTTCGACCTGTTTACACTCCACTCCATTTTGCTCAGCTGGCTCCGTCCTTCTATACGCTCCACCTTTGGTGCCTGTGCCTTCAGCCACTATGCCCTGAACTCTGGAACTCCCTGCCTCACTCCCCCCACCTTGCCTGTCTTCAGATCGCATCTGAAGCCCTTCCTCTTTGACTGTGCCACCGTTCTCACAGCTCAGCGTCTCCGAGACACTGTCAAAATGAAGGGTGCTATATAAATGCAAGTCGTTGCTGTTGTACTATGGCTTCTGCAAAAAGAAGTAAATCAAAAAAGAATTTTTTTTGGGGAACTCCCAGGTCCTTAGATAAGATGGATGAAATTTAATGAGCATCATCTCTTTTATAATCTATATAATCTGTGGCATAGAAACTCTGGCAATTTCTCAGGTGCGGTAACAGTCAGAACAATTAACCTTGTTGCAGGACAGATTATTTCAGGATATCTAGGAATTAATTTGGCTTAGCAAAAATGAACCAAAGCAATCAGTTTATTGAACATGAAAAAGAGATAAACAAATGTAACAAAATGACATTGAAATAAAAATAGAACGATTTTAGAAGTAAAAACCTGTGTGAACACCACACACACATCTGTTAAATTATTTAGAAAAGAAAAAAATGTAGTCGAGTAAATAAAAAAAAACAGCATTTCTTAACACAAAGGGCCATAAATGCTCTGCCAAAATTAATGGGATGTTTAAAATTGAAATAGATACTTGGGTGGTAGAGATATTGAGGGATGTGGTGAATGGAGCATTAGAACTAAGAGGTGTATCAAACTGGTAGAATACACAGGATAGGCTCAATGGTTACCTCCTATTCCTGTTTTCTTACGATCCCTGATCCACAAAGACTTTCTGAAGTACTGTAAATTACACACGTTTGAAATGTATGAGGTGGATAATAGAGTGAGCGATGTTAAGTGTTTTCAGTTCTTCAATATCTATTGTAACCATCAGCATAGCTACAATTCCGTCAACTCTGCAACAACAATGTGACAGCTCCAACTTGAGGGGAGATATCCTGATTGTAGCAGAATGACTTTTCCATTTCCCACGCATATCCTTGCGGTCTATTTGCACGAGACTGCCAGCATGCACATAATTGAATTACTACACCTGTTCCTACTACAAACCAGATTGAAACTGTTCAAATTCAACACAATCAGAACCTTACAGCAAGCGTAACAGAAGACATTCATCCCCACAGTATGGACCGGATTCATGTCTCCAAAGTGAAACAGCAATAACAAATTGCATTTGTAAAGCGCCTTTCACGTCGGGAGGATGTCCCAAGAGGCTGGACAGTCAAGGATTTGGACCTGAGATGGGGGGTTGGGATTTGGAGGGTAACCGAAGGAGTTCCAAACGGTGGAGGCAGAAATGCTGATGGCCCGGCCCGACTGCCGATGGTGGGGCGGGCGGGCGGGCGGGGGACATGAAGCAGGACAAAAGTACAGTTTGCTAACCAGTGTGCCACCTAATCTCAAAAATCTATGTTTTTTGTATTCCTTACTCAATTAGCTGTAGGTCCACTAAATTATGCACTAAATGTACGCACTTGATATCCATATTTAAGGAGAGGGGAAAAAACATCATTTTTGACCAATGTTATAACCAATCAATGTGATCTTAATAGTCCAAAGATAATCACATAAAATAAATCATATTTTCACACTTTTAACTGGTTTATGAAATGACAGTTGAATGGCATTTAGGAAGTTCTTAGGCCAATCAGGATACATTAGTAAAATATGAAAAATGGAGTATCTGCTTTAAGAAGTCGTGTAGCTTAGTGCTTCGAGCACTCGCCTTGGGTTTGATAACCGGGCAGAACAAAATGTTAGGCAAGTTTCCTTACTCCACACATCTCTGTTTACCTCGCAGTAAATAGGAACCCGGTTGTTAGTCAATTAGTGGATCGCTCTTCCGGGAGCAATAATTCTTTAAAAAAAANTTAAATCATTGGGTCACCCAATCCACAATTGTTTGTGGGACACTGCCTTGCGAATTTGGCTGCTGTTTCTTGCAAAAAATATACAGTCACTTCACTTTGCAGTATATTCTGTGAAGTGTTTCGAGTCTTCTCGGAGACGTGGTAAGGCACTATATCAAATGCAGGGATTGTTATTAATATTTCCCCTGTAGACAGAATCTACACATTGGGGCCACAAGCAAAATATTTGCTAACTGAAAATGATTGCATTTATAGTGACTTCCACTTGAGACACTTTGTGGCGTTCGATTCAAGATTTACCATGTGCAAGTGTCACAATCAACAACAACTTGCATTTATGTAGCGCCCTTCACGCCGGGTGGTATCCTGGAGCGCTTAACAGTGGCGGAGTCTGACCATTTATAAGCCTAAGGCATTATCCTGCTGCCTGCAGTAAGATATTCCCAACTTTTATTTCTGGTACCTTCTTCAATAATACAGCAGGGTAAAGACCTTCCAAAGACCCAATCTTTAACCAGAATTCATCATAATATCAGTATTGTAGCACAAAGACACCGATATAGTTTAACCAGATTATTTAAGAAAGCGCTGTAGTTAAATGATTTGGGTAAATCATTGTGAGGCACTGCATTTAAACATACACATATATATATAAAAATATATAACGTATGCAATTAAAGATTTTCTCTGCCATTTGAGCCAGGAGGTTTCAGCTCCACTGCATATAAAAGCCACACTCCAATTTGCAGAGCACCAAGTATTATCTAGTTACCACTCCCAGTGTTACAGAACATAATGTGAAATGGAAAAATAAATTTAGCCTACTCCTTGTGGACCATTCAAAACCCTATCGTGAATTTTCAACCATGCGCACAGTGATTTCCACAAGGTTAGAATGGAGTCAAATGCCCTTTTTGTTGACAGCGTTTCACATTGACTGGAACCCTTCAGTATATGATCAATAATTACATCCAATTCCTTTCGATTCTTTTCCCCTGCTAATGGGAACTATTTATTGTGTACATGTTTGTTTTCTGGTTCAATATTACATTATCTGTGTAAAAATCCATCTTCTACTCCTTGACCTACATAAATAATACTAATGTTTGCATTTCATATAGTGCCTTACCACGACATCGAGAAGCCTCAAAAGTGCTTCACAAGATTTACTGCAAAGTGATGTGACAATGTGCATTTCAGGGTGAATGTGATAGTTAATTTGTACATTTCCCATAAACAGCTATGGAGTGAATAACCAATTTTATTCAAGGGATTGTCAGGGCAACCGGGAGAAACTCCCTTCTATTTTCGAATAATGTCATGGGATCTTTAACGTCAGCCGGACATGTAGGCGGGACCTCAGTTTAACGCCTTACCCAAAAATCTTCTGAATGCTTTTTATCCTTCTTATACCATTCACTTTCCCACAATCTTTGGTATAATCAGCAACTTTTATGTTATAATAAGTACATTCCAGCAGTAACAACAACAAGAAAATAATCTCTGCTCTCTCAATCCCCACATCTCATCTGATCCACCTGAGGCAAAATGAGGAGGCAAGGAAAAGAAAATTACAGTATTTTAAGAAAGGACAGGCACATCCACCCAAAGCAACTCTAAGCACAAGCATGACGGGCCAAATGAGCCATAGCACACATAGTTTGATGCCACAAGATTGCTTCAAATTCCACCAACTTTCCCAATCTTACCTGTCTGAAATTCAGCCTCAAAACTAAATATGAACAAAGTTTTGAAAATAGACATCCCAATTATTCCTTCATGCAATAAAAGTATCACATGATTGGCTCTATATAGCCAAGTAACCATGTGGCAACAACATGAGTGTTTTGCATGAACCTTAACTTAGTGATCATACATGCAAAACAAAGTAGACACCATGCTTCTTGCTTGAAGATCTAACGTCTACGGAAACAAAGTCACTCATTCATTTATCTGAAATATGGCCTTCAACTATTGAAGGTCGCAAATCAGCATTTGATGGTTCATTAACATATGCAGCTACATTTTTCAATCCATTTGACATTTAAATGAACACCGTCTAATGAGAAACAATGGGGACAATTTAGCAGTACATTCAAAACATAGGCTTCTCCTCCCTTGAATCTGATCTCAATGGCAAAATCCAACCAGTCATTAATTCACAACTTGCAGCTTGAAATCTTGGACCACACACAAATCTGGGTATATTTAATGGACCAAATTTTAATGTACTATTACATTTTAATATAATAATCCTTGCATTTGATTTAGCGCTTATCTCAACTTCAAGACGTCGCAAAGTGTTTCACAGCACTTGTCAGGATTGTCAGGACAACCGGGAGGAACTCCCTTCTATTTCCGAATTATGCCATGGGATCTTTAAAGTCAGCTGTATAAAGTGAATTGACTGTATATTTTGTGGGCGAAACGCGGCAGCAACTGCATGGCAGTGTCCCACAACAGCCATGGATTGAGTGAGCCAATTTTTTATTTAATTGATCCCAATATTATGTTTAGTAGAAGTGTGATAAAATGTGCAAATTCAACAAAGGTCACTTAGCATTCTAGACATTTAAATAGTTCCACAACAAAATCTTGTGATGTTATGGATTCAGAATTGAAGGCAATATGGAACTAGAAGGAACAAAGTCAGTTCTGTTCAACTGGATAAAAACCTCACATTGTTTGCATATGCAAATTGTACTTCAAGAGTAAAATTTAAGTACAATTTGCATATCCAAGCCACTGCGGTAATTTACTTTAGATTACCACCCAACTGTGTCACTGAGAATTTTTATTCCCTACATCATCCTTAGGGTAAGACTATCAATTATTGTTGAACCATAAGTAGTTCTCTGCAGCAAATACAATGCACAATCCCATTTGATCTCACAAGTAATTTTTTTTTGCCTTCCTTATTTTTCAGGGTTCCACATGCCACACCCCAGTAAGAATGAAGGGAAGTGGGGAAGGGAGGTAAGCTGCTCCTTTCAGGTCTGTAACTGACTACAGTGTGAGAAGGTATACAATTATAGCTGAGCGTGACTCACCCCGACATTTTTCATGAAAAACATTTGAGGCCTGAAAACTATCGAGGTATTCAAGCAGATTCGCTCAGCTGCCTTTGCCACCTCCTCTGCCACTCGCCACCCTGGCCTCCACTGAGCTTTTCTTCAACTCTCACATGAAACCAACCACCTGCTCCCTTGAACCCCATCCACACACCATTCCTAGCCGCCCAGTTTCCCCTCCTCACTCTCCTGCTGGCTGACATCACTCTCTCCCTATTCATTGGCACAGTGCCTCCCATCATCACGCACCTTGTCAAGAATTCCTCACCCAACCCTTCCACGCTTTCCAGCTATTGACCCAACTCCAATCTGCCTTCCTTCTCCAAGGGGCTGGAATGAGTCATCGGATGCCAGTTTCACGCATTCCTGGTGTCAGACTGGCTCAGCTAGTAGTACTTGCACCTCAGACTCAGAAGAGTGTGCTCAAGCCCCACATTGGGTCTTTCATCTCGGTCTAGGCTGGACCTGCACTGTCAGAGTTACTGTCCTTCATTTTCAGGGTTCCAAGTGCCACACACCAGAAAGAATGAAAGGAAGTGGGAAAGTGTTAAAGCGTTAAAGTGTTAAGGTATCTGTTCCTTTCAGGTCTGTAACTACTAGGCAGGGCGTTAAATCAAGGTCTCATCTGCCTGTTCAGGTGGATGATAAAGATTCCATGAGACTATTTAAAAAGAGGACAATCCCCAAGATATAAATTGGTCATTTTTCTTTAGGGCCAAAACATAATGCCAGTCCCTGAAGCGCACCGAGGTGCTGCCCCGCGTGAAGAGCATTAAATAAATGCAAGTTGTTGTTGAGTGTGTTGAGCTGCACAATACCTCCATATTACACCCACTTGGAAGTCACTCTTCTTCCCAAATATTAAACCGAACACATACTTGAAAATATGGATAAATGAATGCCGATGATTTTTTTTTGGTACTTTGCATCTCATCTGAAAACCATTTTGGGGAAGAACCCCCAATGTTTATTTTATATAGTCTATTAAGAGTTTTTAAAAAAACCTGTATAACTGTGGGTCAGTGCCAAGTTCTCAATCATACACTGGTATATGGAAGAAACATCATTCAAAGGACTCTCAAGTGTTTAGTAATGGCTGACTTAGCAGAAGCCTGGGAACAGCATGTCAGTCTTTCCTCTTAGATGCTTTTAGTGCAAGGCCCAAGGAGCCCAATGATACTTATTCAAAAGCTTGAGGATTTCATAACTAAATTCCCCTTCCACACAATGAATAAAGCAGACAACTCACTGTCTATCACATACATCCCTATATCTTGAAAGCATAAAATGTAAAAGGCTCATTTCACATAAAAATCAACTGAGTAAGTGCTTTACAGCCTCATAGATTTAATTTCATAATCTCTACAGTAATGCCACCTATAGAATAAAATACTATATATTGTAGCAAATGAAAGATGAAGGAGCTAGCTTCAAGACAGAAAGCCATGATCATGAAGGACAATCAACAGTCATTATATTGTGCATGTACCTACCGGTACTGCCATCCGCTCACAAGGTTGGTATATTTCATAAGATAACCCTGTATATGTTCAAAATGACTATGTCACAGGGCCAATATCCATAAATAAAAACAGGAGAGAAAAGATTAAAAACAATTATTGTTAATTAGAAAAGCACATTTATAAATTACAATCAGTCGCAATCAGATATTTCACAGCAAACCCAGAATCTAGCTTAAGTACATTTGTACAATTGCATCCATAGCAGCATGCAACAGAAATCCATCTTTGGTATATTAGCACAGTAACCTACCGGTATTCAAAACCCCGATTCCCTGATCTTTCCCTTTACCCTTTGATACCCTTCTTCTGTATGCATTTGGCTACTTATTACTAGGAAGCCGAGTATTGAGTCATTTTTAAAAAAAATACTAGGTGTTTTTCAGAGAAAGGATCGTGATCAAAGAAAGTGATTGGCCATTTCACCTCATATAGCTTAGTCAGTCAAACTTTGTGCCCTACGATGAAGTATTGCAATCTTGTCCCTACAAACTACAGTAGAAGTAGGTGGGAGATGCTGAGTGAGAACAATGGAGAATGAAAGTAGGAGGAAGACTGAAAAAGAGATGATAAAATTCATGGCCTATCATAGAACCATTTAAAAGTACAGCACAACAGGAGGCCATCTGACCCATGTTTTCCATGTTTGCTCCTTCTAAACCCCAATTCCCTGCTCTTTCCCTTTAGGCTTGGATATGTTTCTTCTGTATGCACTTGTCTAATATACACAAAATGATACCACACAGAAATAGGCCATTTGGCCCAACTAGTCTGTGCCAGAAATTATACTCCACATTTCTAATTGTCTCTCTTATACCTGTCTATTCCCTCTCCTTCATGTATGCATGAAGTTTCCCTTTAAATACATTGAGGCATTTTGCTTGAATCACAGTTCCTGGCAGGGAGTTCCACATTCTCACATCCCCTGCATAAAGCGGTTCTTCCTAAACTTCCTTTCAGATCTGCATCAAGCTATCATATACAAGTTTATGTCCTTTCTTTGGACATACCAACAAGTGGAAAGAGCATATGAAGCCACTGATTTTGTACACCAACTATGCCAAGTAGACAACTACAAATTGTATTTATATAGCATCTTCCACATCGGGAAGACATCCCAAGGCACTGGACACTCAAGGGTTTTGCACCCAAGCTGGATGTTGAAGTCAACGGGAGTGTGGGAGGGATATAGAAGATAGAAGGAATAGACAGGTATAAGAGACTTCATGCAGACATGAAGGAGAGGGAATAGACAGGTATAAGAGAGCCTTGAAAATATCTGAGAGGGGTCTTTATAGGGTATATTTAAGATTGTAAACTGAAGATTGAAAATGTAAATTGAAAATAATATTCAGATATGCCATGGCAGAAAGGGAGGACAAAGGTTCAGGGTAGCAAAAGGCAATTACAGGACAGAGACCATGAAATTATTTACTTACCCACAGTACTGTTAATAATAATTATTATTGTTAAGAAACAGCTTGATGTTGTGATGGGAAAATTGTAGGGTGTGTATTCTGGAAGGATGAGCTCAAATGGATCGAAAGGCCTTCTTCATCTGAACCAAACTTGTGAACTAAAAATTATAGTCAAACCAGTTCAACTCGATTGAACCGGTTTGACTGCATAATTTTTAGTTAACAACCACCCTGGAACAGTCCCTTTATTATGCGGTCACACACCAACAAGCCTTTACTCGGAGACCAAACTTATATAAAGGCCACTTTGGCCCAGTCCCCTGAGAGGCTGTTGGAAGACAGGTTTCATTGTAATTATAATGATGTGTAATTGACCCAAAGTCTAGAAGTGGGAGCAGTTAATTTTCTCTTTCCTCTAAAATAATCTGTTTTTCACATTATCCTCACAGGCCATTCAGATCACACATGCAAACTCCTAACTCCCTCACTCTGTATGATGATCTCCAATCTTGATTCCACCAGCACACAATATTGAGATGGACTCAGTCGAAATTACCAATGACATCCTCAGTCTGCAACCAGAGGTTACTCTCTGTACCTTTGACAGTCTTCCACTACATCCTTCTCCATCATCTTCCTCCACTGGACCATTTACCTGCCCCAATGTCTTCACTATGTCTCTGCATGGTCACACTCAGGGCTCTGTCCTTAGCCCTGTCATTTTCCTTGTCGACATATTCTCCTTGGTGACATGCTCAAACAGGGTTCACTTTCAAATGTATACAGAAGATATGCAACTCAACTGTTCCATCTAATTTGGAATCTAGGACCCTGATAAACATCAAGACCCGGATGAACCTCACCTTCATTCAACTGAAATGTCAAGAAGTCAACCTGCATGGCTCCAATCAGTGCCACAACGCATCTGACCGACCGTATCAACCTCCCCAACTACTCATTCTTGCACAATCCTGGAATTTTCAACCCTCAGATCTTCTGTAAGACATTCATATGGTCCTTGGCCAAGTCCAGTTTCATTCCTAACATTCCCCCAAAGTAGAACAAAACCCTCATAAACACCCTTGTCATCTTACAATGCCTGTCTTGTCAGCATTCACAGTGCAACCATCCACAAGGCCCACGGCTCCACAGCCTTTTACATAATACTTATATTTAATACAGGGCCTATAAAATCAAGGACATCTCAAAGCTCTTCCTTCACAAGATATTATGTAATACTGCAGTGACACTATTTTTGTAACCATACCAGGCTTTGCAAGCCTATCCTCACCAGGACATTACAAATTATAAATGAAAGGCTCTATGTAAGTGCAAGTTGTGCTTTTTTCTAAGCATCTCCTTGTATTTTGTGTCCTGAAGTTTGGCTTTTTTTTAAAAAATTTAATTTTCACTCTAATTTTTTGCTTTACACTATTTAGATTTTTAAATACGTTTGGCAAAATGGACCATCATTCAGAAGCTGTAATTATAATAGAGCAAGATTTCTTTGAAAAAGAGAGGACTAAGGACCTGCCTAAATATTCTTTGAAAAATGAAACCTCAAATATGATTTAACAATTAATTTAAAATACTGCATACAACAAACATTTGCCTTATTATCACCCAGAGCATCCTCACTGTCTGTACAGCTATAAAAGCTCAAGTGCAGCACAGCATCTCATAATAATCTACTTACTATTTTCTACTGTAACACTACACATCACAAAACTTATAATCAGCTACAAAAGTATAGTTAAATAATCAAGAATGTTCACCCATTTTTTTTGCCAGATCTGCTGTTTTAATTTGGGTCTCAAGAAGGGCTCAGGGTTTTGCAGATACTGTACAAGGCTATATCCCCCCACACAAGCATCCTGTTCCCAATACTGTTTAAATTAATGTTCTGGAACGTAAAGGGCTACACTGCCTGAAAGTAAATGCAATATACTTGTTATCTGCCAATAAAAATATATGTATAAATTCCAGGAGGACTGAGGGCTAGCTTAAATATTCAATTGAACAGAATCTAATTATTCTGCTGCAGAGAGAGGTTTTCCCCAAATGAGTCCTGCCCTACAAAAATAAAAAAAATCTACTATTCTTACAAATTTCAGCTTAATGAAACATTTTTAGCTCCTCTGTATTAGATACAGTTAGTCAGTGTCACGTCAAGATGTCAGAAGTGTATATATTCCAGAAGGATTAAGGACGAGCCTAAATATTCAATTGAATAGAAGCTGATACTTCTGTTGCAGAGAGGTTTGTCCCCAAACTTTGCCTGAACAGAGTTCAATCTTTACATTCAATATATCATCAAAAAAACTTTTGTGACACTATTCTTTAAACATTTAACATCAGATATAATAATAGCATTTGATATAGCACTTTTCACGTTTTCTAGATGTCTCAAAGCGCTTCACAGAATATACTGTAAAGTGAATTGACGATACTTGTGGGCGAAACGCGGCAGCCAATTGCGCACAGCAGTGTCCCACAAACAGTCGTGGATTGAAAATGACCAATTTTATTATTATAATAATAATCCTTGCATTTGATATAGCACTTTTCACGTCTTCTAGACGTCCCAAAGTGCTTCACAGAATATACTGTAAAGTGAATTGACTGTATATTTGTGGGCGAACGCGGAAGCCAATTGCGCACAGCAATGTCCCACAAAGTCATGGATTGAAAATGACCAATTTATTATTGTTTTTGGTTTCGGAGGGATTATTATTAGGCGTGTGGAGTAAGGAAACTTGCCCAAGGTTTCGCCCTGCCTGGAATTGAACTCAGGTCTCTCACTTCCAAGGCAAATACTCTAACCACTGAGCTATAGGACTGCACATAGTTTAATGCTGCAATGGGAAGACTCCACGGTTGGTAATCTGGGAGAATGAGATCAAATAAGACAAAACCCCTTGTTAGGGTCGTCGTCCCAGTTATCTTAATACAAGGCCTTGTTAAGCCACAAGACACAGCAAGTAGGAACTGGAGAGCATAAACATATGCAAAACAAATTTTAACAGAATAACTAACATGAGTAGGCAAGAAAGCGTCAGCAGGAAGACTGGGAGTGAACTCTGTATGTGGAGACCAAATTATTTTCAAAGAACAAGTAAAATAATCCTAACCCAGGAATATACTTCTCATTTGCTAAATCTCCATGTATGACAACAACAAATTACATTTGTATAGCGCCTTTCACGTCAGGAGGACGTCCCAAGGCGCTGGAAGTCAGGGATCTGCACCCGAGCTGGTGGTTGGGATCAGGAGGGGTGGAGGGCGTGGAGGGTAGAGGTGGGTGGGTGATTAAAGAGGAGGGTCTTGAGATGGGTCTTGAAGGAAGCAAGGGAGGGGGTGAGGTGGAGGGACTGTGGGATGGAGTTCCAGAGGTTGGGCCAGAGAGTCTGAAGGTCCGCCCGCTAATGGTGGGGCGGGCAAGGCGGGGACCTGAAGCAGGCCAGAGGCGGACAGGTTGGTAGGGGGTTAGGAGGTCACAGTATTAGAGAGGAGCGAGGCTGTGGAGGGCTTTGAGGTGAGGACCAGGATCTTTAACACCTCTTTAATCCATCATCCCCTCTCCTCTACTCCATTTCCTCCTTTGCCTTCCTTGCCCTGTTT